GGAACTTGCCTGGGTTGCAGGCTTAATCCTCAGTAGGGGGTGTGCGGGAGGCAGCAGGTCAATGATTCTCTCTCATCATTATGTTTCTATCTCTCTCTCCCTCTTCCTGAAATCAATAAAAATATGTTGTTAAAAAAGAAAACAAACAAAAAACTGTAGAGACCTTCCACAGGCTTCTATTTGCAGATGACATTATAAAGACACCACCTCAAAAACTGTTAAAACTACTGAACAAAATCAGTAAAGTTGCAGGATACAAAACCAATATACAAAATTCTACTGCATTTCTATACACTAATAATGAAATGCCACAGAAATTAAGAAAGCAATCCCATTTACAACTGCCTCAAAAAAAAAAAATACCTAGAAACAAATTTAACCAAGGAGGTGAAAGACCAGTACACTGACAATTATAAGATGTTGATAAAAGAATTGAAGAAGACACAAAATAAATGGAAAGATATTTCATACTCATGGATTAGAAGAATATTGTTAAAGATATCCATACTACCCAAAGCCATCTATAGATTTAATGCAATCCTTATCAAAATTCCAATGGCATAACAATCCTAAAATAGTAAAGAACCTCAAAAGACCTCGAATAGCCACAACCTTCAGAAAAAAGAACAAAGCTACAGACATAACACTTTCTGATTTTAAACTATATTACAAAGTTATAATAATCAAAAAGTATGATACTGGCATAAAAACAGAGGCAAAAAAACCCCATGATAGCTAGCCCTTCCCAGCTTAATTTTTCTCCATAGCACCCATTATCATATACTAGTATACTTTACTCATTTCATATCACTAAAACGGAAGCACCAAGCAGGTGAAGATTTTCATCTTTTGCTCAGTGTTGTATCTGCAAACATCATAGAATGCCTGGCTCATAGTAAAGAATGAAACAGATATTTAATTTTATGAGGCATTGTCCAAAAAGCTTCAGTGTTATCTTTCTTTCCTTAACTCATTAAAAATATTCAGGTAAAACCCATTAGCTACATCCATGATAGATTTGGTTTCAATATAAAAATGCTAAATAAACTGACCTTAACAAAAATTTTTTAAAAAAATAAGACCCAACATATTTGAAATTGCCTCCATCCTACCTATCTTTTCTAATCATTTCTAACCTATATCTTATCTTAAGAACCCAAATATTTACCTTCTTCAAATAGAGATTCCCAACAAGCATACAGCTTATGGGAAAGTCAAAAAAACAAAATACATAACAAACTCATATAAGACCACTTATTGGGTTCTATATGCCACATTATAATTCTACTTTGGTTTCTTTAGAAGCACCTCAATAAGACACATATAGCAAATTAGAAAGTATCCTTAATGCTGATATCAAATCACAGAATTAATGCAGAAGTTAGAAACCCAAGGCAGAAGTGGTAGAGGGGAAACAGCATGTCCATCCCAGATGACCAGGACCTGAAGGAAATAAACGTAGTACTGTCCACTCTACTCTAACCTTTGAGCTTGAATCACTAACCAGCAACATATGTACACATATGTAGTTATTACTGACCACAGGACTTTCCTGGTTAGTACAGGCATACCTCATTTTATTGCACTTTACTTTATTGTGCTTCACAGATATTGCATTTTTTTTTTTTAACAAACTGAAGGTAAGGGCCTCCTCCAGAAAAAAATATTACAACTGGCTTTATTGCAATACACAGTGGTCTGGAACTGCACCCACAATATCTCCAAGGTATGCTTGTATATTATTTTAAGAATAAACATTAAGTCTTTGTCGATTTGTAATTGAAAGTCAATGGCAAGCATTATAGATACTGCAAAGTTTTGACCAGGTCTCTTATAGTTCATATTTGTTAATATCACGTTACTAATACTGTTAATGATAGTACACTTGAGAGCATTTAAGCAATCAAATTTAAACACTGCAGAAACACTAACTTCTGATATTACCAGGAGTTATAACAAAGCAGGAAAACAGTTTATGGCTGAAGGGGCATAATTTTACTTGCAGATTTAACACATAGTTAACATGGCATGTCCATTGTTTACACATTGGGTACAAAGACATACCTTGTACAAAACAGCATTGCTGAATCATACTGTGCAGGAGATGCATAACTCAACATTAAAAAAGAAAAGATGACATTCAGTCACAGATGATCTGTTCTCACATGATGGAAACATCTAGGATGGGAAATCTCTCAATCACACTTCTCTTTTTAGGGGAAGCGCTGAACAATCTTTCAATAGTGAGAAAAGAATTCCAGATTACAGATAAATACTTTTTGGTCTTTTTCTATTGAAAGTTCTACTATAAAGTTTTTGGGGTAGTCAGGGAAGTCTGTGACAAGAAGAGATTATGATACAAAGACACATGACTAAACGAAATGATTCATAACTATCGTTAATGCTTTTTTAGTGAAAATCAGGAACACACTCACATTTTATATTGCTTTTAAGTCCTATGGAAATATAAAATGAAAATATTTGAGGCTAAATGTTGGATAGCCTGGGTGAAACAGATGATACTGGTAAACTTTCAATCCCTTTCAAATACCTGAATTTCTATAGAATGTAATCACCATCATTTTCCCCATACAATTTCAATTCTTTATATTCAATGGGAAAATAGTATTTTATATAAATACTAGAGGCCCAGTGCACGGATTCGTGTACCAGTGGGGTCCCTTGGCCTGGCCTGTGGGATTCAGGCTCTCCACATCACCTGAGGGGTCCTGTATTGTGAGAGGGTGGTTCTCATGTGATGCACCCCAGAATCGGGCTCCCTCCTCTGTTTCCGGGTGCATCACTGGAGAAGCACAACTGCCAAGTCACTGCAGCTTGGCAGCTCCTGCACTGAGCATCTGCCCCCTGGTGGTCAGTGTGCATCATAGCTACCGGTTGAACAGTCGCTTAGATATATATATATATATATATATTTACATTTACATTTATATTTATATTTATAGAAAGGTAGAATTTAAGAGAAAAGGGAAGATATGTAACTTCTACATGAAATAGGGAGCAATAGGACTACATGAATTAAGTGAGAGTAGAGGGTTGCTGAGTCCAAGAACACAGATGCATTTACATACCTAATAACTTAATCAGTACCACTGTAGCAGATTGTCTCCCTTCCCCCCAAAACCATTTACTCTGTATCAGAACGACACCATTGGTCATATGTGGTTATGAATGTGATTAAACTGAAGAAGCACATTATAAGTTAATAAACTTCAAATATCTCCTCTATCACAAAATTGTCATGGCAGAGGCAGTGTTTCAAAAGACTCATCCCAATTTCCTGACTTCTTAATTCAGCTCAGTTCTCAATGCACATATTCTCTTTGCATCCTTATTGACAGGTGAAGGAAAAATACTTAATTTGCACAGTGCACTGGTGAGCTTACACCCACAGTGCGTGTACAATACTTTGAGTCTCACTAACCTGGGACAAGTGCTAAACACTAAGCACTGAACAGCACGGAATGCAAAAATACCCCTTGTTAATCCTAGTAACTCAAATAAGGGGGACTGATCATAGAATTGTGTAAGTTTCACTGGGCGCTCAGTGGGATGTGCAAAGAATACACAAAGTTAACAGCCATGCCTCTAACAATGCTATCACCAGTCCAAGCAAACAGAAGAAACCACTCGCCTCCGCAGGCACCCAATGCACTGACTGCCTTGCTTTCGGAGTAACACTCTTCTAAGGAACGAGAAGTCAGTGATCAGGACCAAAGCTCAGGTTGGAACAGGCTACCCCACCCCGGGAAAGAACCACTTATGTCACACATCCCATCACAGCCACTGATGATGCATCTGTGGGGGGAGACCATCACAGGGGTAAAAGCGCTACTCCAAACAATCCAAGAACTTTCCTCCTGCTCGTGGTGATCTGCAAACTATGTGCAGACCAACACGACACTCAGGCCCGATGATGGGCAGCGGATTCCACAGCCAGCGCCACCAGACTGCATCTCCGCGGAAAGCAAGCCCCGCACCTCTAGGAAAATCCCAGAGTGAAAACAAATCGTCACTGATAGGCTAGAATCCAACAAGATCCTGACATCCTCCTACACAGCGGAGACCACGGACAAGGCTAAGGCTAAGACAAGACAAAAAGGCCCCCTGATCACCTTCCCTCCTCCGCAAGCTGGCTGCGCACAGTGGCCCGAGGTCACCGAGGGCGGCGTCCCCCGCCCCAGGCAGGGCACGACCGCAGGTCATCGCCCCAGAGCTCACCGCCGGGGAGAGCCGGGCAACATCTGCACTCATCCCCACACCTGGAACCCCAGCCTGGGGACGCGATCGGGCGCAAGGCCACCTAAGTCCCCCG